CTCTCTCTCTCTCTCTCTCTCTCTCTCTCTCCGGTACTAACCTGTGAAGGTGGCGCCTTGTTGCAGGTACATCGAAGACGAAGCTGGAGCTATGGCGCCACAGGTAAGTCTCCCTAGCCACCGCCAACCATCGCTCTCTCTCTCTCTCTCTCTCTCTCCAACGCTACTCTAGCTCCTACTAGCGCCCAGCGCTGAAGACTACTGCTAACGCTACTACTACTCCTGCAGCGCTCCTCCAGAGTGCTGCTGCCGAATCCTGAAGACTACCTCCTGCCTCCTGGGAAGTTCCTATGAACTGCCTCGTGACTACCTGCAGCCTGCAGGGCGGGCCAGTCTTATATAGTGCTGGCCCGTCCAGGAGGCTGCTCTTGCCAATGCCAAAACGTGCCAGACCCTCGTGTTGAAGTTCAAACAAAGGTTGTCTTGAAAACAGGCCAAAAATGACCTGTGCTAAAACCCTGGTCTGGTGTCTAAGTTTCAGGGCAGGTCGATCTTTTGAGGGCCTGAATATAGACCTCCGTTTCAGGCTGAAAAGACTCAGGGCCTGGAGGGCCCTTTTTAGGCTGAAACGACACAGGGCCTGTAGGCCCTTGTTTTCAGGCTTTCGGGCTGAAACGACACAGGGCCTGTAGGCCCTCGTTTTCAGGCTTTTAGGCTGAAACGTAACAGGCCTTACACCTATGGACCCCTAGTCTACCTGGTCGGGCCCTGCTGGGCCCGTGTGGTACTGAGTATGCCACAGATCGTGACTGTATCGTTCCCATGGTTCAATATACATAGCTTGTATACGTTCATGATGACAGGGCATGGTGTTCAAACCACCACTACCTACCGCGTGTTTAGGCAGTGCCATTTCGAATGAATACAAACCTGCGTGGCGGGGCAATTCATCGATGCAATAACGCCCTAAAAACCCGGTAGGTACTGGTGGTTTAAGGATGGACTATATAGCTCACTTGATTCTGTGCTCACTGTGAAGAGGTAGCGTTTAGATAGGAATATGGAGCCGTGCTGTTTCTGACTAAGGAAGCGAGAACCTTTGAGCTCTGATGTGAAGAGGTAAACTGTCGAAAACAGCGACTGGAGTGATCAGCAGGTGGGGGTTGTGTTGTGCAAGATGGAAAGGAGGAGTCAGAAAAAAATGAGGTAATGATAAAGGGGAAAAAAAAAAAGAGGAACAGAGAAGATTCACATGCCCCCTGCACAAGGATGACACGCACAAATCGAGAAAAGGTCCAAAAAGGCTCCAAATTTAAGGTGGGGGGGGGGAGAAGAAGAAGAAAAAAAAGACAGATCAACGGTGGTGAATCCTTCATTATGTCCGTTAAAATTATTGGAACGGTACAAGAAGATTCGCATCGCCTCTGTCCAAGGACGGCACGCATAAATCGAGAAATGGTCCATTTTTTTCAAAGAGATGGACAAGAAAAAACTTCAAAAAAGAGATCATAGGAAATGTATTGGGATTCAACAATAGCGAAGACGACAGCGGATCTTGTCGCCCGCCCCTTTTTCAAGTCTCGTTCCCGCAAGCTGAGCCAACAGCTGTGGTCCCGCCCCTTTTACAAGTCTCGTTCCAGCGAGCTGAGCCGGCAGCTGTGGTTCACCATAGCGGAGAGGATTTCTAGGAGGAAGGCAAGCTGACAGTCAATCCTCCATGTGAATGGAGTAATCAATATACCGACCAGGGGTCCTTCGGCTGGTTGGAAGGAAGCGTGCGTGCGTGATTCTGTTGTATGATAAGTTGATAACTTGTATCTTTTATGACTTGCCACCATTGCCGGTGGAAAAGGAACCGGACTGACGCTCCCCAGAATGGTTATGGAGCCAGGACCGTAAGGCCCTGGTTAAAAAAAAAAAGAAAAAAAAAGAAAAAAGAAAAAGAGATCAGATGAAAGGTGGGGGCGGTCCAACTTAAAGAGCTGTGCCGCCCGCTGCGTGGGAGCCTTTGCTTCCTTTTTTTTTTTTTTTTTTAATTTGGACCATTTCTCGATTTATGCGTGTCATCCTTGCGCAGGGGCCATGCTAATCTTCTCTGTATCGTTCCAATTTTAATGGATGCCCCGAAGGACGGGAGACTTTGCTTCTTCCTTTCTGATATTTACGAAATTTTGTACGTTTTGGTCCTTTTGGATATAGAGCATATGTGTGTTTTGGCAGTTTTGCCAGTTTGGTTGATTTTATGAATATGAGACCCACACCTTGCCACCTAAGATTCCATAGGGAGTCGATGCTTGTGCCTGAGCATTATCTACTTTATATCTGAGAACACATGCAAAGATGTTTGACCATATTTTCCGCATTCAGTCTTCTTAGCAATCTCTGCACCATTGTTTTGACCTGAACAATAGTTCAGCCGGTTCCTGAGCAGTCAGCGTAGGGTTTGGAGGGAACTGGTTCGGTCCCCCACTTTTCTTGTGGTACCCTTTACACTCTCCCCCTTGGGAACAAGCAGCGTCATTGCTAAGGGAGTTTCGAATCAGGGCCCCCTCTCGGGTGTTGCTTGAGGCGTTCTGCACCGTTCAGAACATATGTTCGCATGGCTGCTATGCAGAGCTGAGATGGAAATCCTGTTGGCACCGTGGGACCCTCCAGGCAGGCTTGGTGTTACGGTTGACCTTCGGAACAGTGAAGTGCAGTGAGTGTGCCTGTGTGTGCCCGTGTGTGCCCCGTGTGTGCCCGTATGTGGCCGTGTGTGCCCGTATGCGCCCGTGTGTGCCAGTGTGTGCCAGTGTGTGCCAGCGTGTGACACTGTGCGACAGTGTGTGACACTGTGCGACACTGCATGTGCCCGTGTGTGACAGTGTGTGTGCCCGTGTGTGACATTGTGTGTGCCCTTGTGTGTCCGTGTCTGCCAGTGTGCAACAGTGTGTGACAGTGCGTGACACTGTGTGACGTCGTGTGTGACCGTGTGACACTGAGTGTGTCCTTCTGTGCCAGTGTGCGACAGTGCGCAACAGTGTGTTGACACTGTGTGACACTGTGTGGCACTGTGTGGCACCGTGTGTGCTCATCACCATGGAGTGTAGTGGGACAGTTCTACTAGCCTCAGGTTTAGCTTGACCAGCGTCTGGCCAAGGGTGTCAGAGAGATGCAAACACATAATGAAAGGCAGTTGTGCGCATAGTGTGATGGCAATGAAGAAGGGTAGTTGTGAAATTAACATGTTGCTATGGACTTAGACAGAAAAGCCCCATAGCAGCATGTATGTGATTTGATGGCATCCCTTGGCCAAGCCTGTGGGAGAGCTGCTAGAGGTTTGCATGTGATAAAGTCACTCCTCTGCAAAACAACCAGCTTGGCCAAACCTTATCTGTTCCTTATTCCCTTCAGGATTTGAAGTCATGACCTCAACAGTTTACATGCGTGTACCATTATCAGCCGCATAGGCTGGGTACATGTCGCATGCCAAAATGGTGCAGACCACAACCAAGAAACCGACCTCTTAAAGATGAAGCAATGATAGCACAGTGGAAGGCTGAAATAACAACCAAACCCAATCAATGTCGTGACACAGACTGAACATCAACATCATCATCATCACCCAGTGTAGAGACGAAGGGGGGTAGAAATGGAGAATGTCG